GCCAAACCCATCAATCGTCCTAACCAGTATTCGTTCGCTACAGCTACTTCCACCCAGTCCTGCTTACTTTGTTCAAGTCATGAACATTTAGTGCAGAAATGCCCTCGTTTTAAAACTATGGAAGTTAACCAAAGATTTGAGAAGGCGAAATGTTTGAAACTCTGCATTAACTGTCTATCGCCCCGGCATCGAGTGGCCAATTGCACATCATCATTCAAATGCCGAATATGCGCAAAGTCACATCACACACTCTTGCACCAACCCAATAGCAATGACCAGGTTTCGGATTCACTAAATACCACAAGGCAAACTCTGTTGCCCAATAACAATGTTGCCAGTCACTCTCATCTTGATATGTCTTCAAATGAACAAATAATTTTAGCTACGGCGCTGGTTTTGGTGAAAGATTCAGTTGGAGGTTATCAAGTGGGGAGAGCGTTACTCGATTCGTGCTCGCAGGTTAATTTTATAACAGAGGAATTCTCAAAAAATCTTAATTTGGTCAAATACAAGCGACCGGTACATGTGGCAAGTATAGGCAGCACATTTGCTAATATAAAGCATCAAACATCCACTATCGTAAAGTCACGTCATTCAAATCTTGAGCTGGATCTCAACTTCTGCGTTACTCCTCATATTGCTTACCAGCCAAGCTCAGAAATTGATGTATCATCATGGAACCTCCCGCCGAATACTTCACTCGCAGATGAACTATTTTTTAAATCCAAACGTATCGATCTCTTACTAGGCACAGAAAGCTTCTTTGACATTTTATCCATCGGTCAAATTAAATTGGGTGCGAATCTTCCAGTCCTGCAAAAAACATTGTTTGGATGGGTGGTATCCGGTAGATGTCAAGGTGTTCTCGATAATCCCACAGTTGCAAACTGCCTAATGTCACTAGATGATACCGTATCTAAACAACTAGAAATGATGTGGAAGATAGAGGAAGTACAATCAGCTGAAAAATCGTGGTCACCAGAGCAATCGAAGTGCGAGACCTCCTATCAAGAAACAGTTCGACAAGCTATGGACGGAAGAATTGTAGTTCGATTACCATTTAAGGAACCACCAACCACCCTCGGTCTGACACACAGCATTGCCTTGCGTCGACTTCTAGGTATAGAACGACGCTTATCATCCAATCCTGCATTAAAACGCGATTACTGGGAGTTCATGAAACAATATCTGGAGTTAGGGCATATGACGCGCGTCGAAGATCCCAAATTGAACGAACCGCATTACTATATCCCTCACCATTGTGTTCTGAAGCCTTCCAGCACGTCAACAAAGTTGAGAGTAGTTTTTGACGCATCATGTCCAACCTCATCTAGTCGTGCGCTAAATGACATTTTGCTGGTAGGCCCTACCATTCAGCCGGAACTATATCTGCTCCTTCTTCAGTTTCGCTTATACCGTTATGCTCTGACAGCCGACATCGTAAAGATGTTCCGACAAATTTTGGTGGATAAAGGAGATCGACGGTTTCAATATATCCTCTGGAGAGACACAGATGCGGAGCCTGTTAGTACTTACGAACTCAATACTGTCACTTATGGCACAGCATCGGCGCCGTTTTTATCAACTAGAAGTTTACAATATTTGGCCGATAAATATAAAGACAAATACCCATTAGGCTCTCCACTTCTTAAATCGTCATTTTTTGTGGATGATTTTATTGGCGGAGCCGACTTCAGTGAAGAACTTGTCGAAATTAAACATCAACTGACTGCAATTCTGAAGGAAGGTTGTTTTGAATTGGATAAATGGCATTCTAATCATGTGGATTTTGTAAGCGACACTACAACGAAGAGTTGGGATCTGGGTTCGGATACGATCACTAGCGCATTGGGCATCAAATGGCATCAACTTCATGATGTGTTTCTATTCTCGTTCAACGTCCCGATTAGTCGTACGGTAACAAAACGTTCTATTCTATCACTGGCCTCATCACTGTTCGATCCTCTTGGGTTACTCGCTCCACTTGTACTTGTTTCAAAAATTATTATGCAAGAACTCTGGCTGCTTCGTTTGAATTGGGATGAGTCAGTACCTCAAGCTCTTCACTCTGCATGGGAAACGTTCGTTCAAGACCTCCATACACTTTCGTCTATGAAGATACCGCGATTTTGCCTAACAATAGGCCCTCAACAAGTAGACATCCACGGATTTTGTGATGCCTCAATAAGAGCATATGGATGTTGCATTTATCTTCGTTCTCAGGATAAGTCAGGTAACGTGACAGTCAAACTATTTACTGCAAAATCCCGCGTAGCTCCGATAAAGAGGAAATCGTTGCCTAAGTTAGAGTTATGTGGTGCGTTACTACTTGCCAGGTTATTACAAAAAATTCAGCCGACACTCGCTCACCTCGAAGGAGAAACATTTTTTTGGACGGATTCCCAAATAGTTCTGCATTGGTTGAAACAACATTCCTCGACTCTATCTGCCTTTGTAGGCAACCGTGTGGCTGAAATCCAAGATATAACTCGCGCTGGTCAGTGGCAGCACATATCTACAAAAATTAATCCAGCTGATATTGTTTCTCGTGGTTGTACCAATCGCCAACTAACGGAGTCTACGTGGTTCACTGGACCAGAATTTTTATTACGTGAAAGAAAACATTGGCCTCAACCAGAACATAGCAATTTAGATATGGAAGTAGTCAATAAGGAAAGAAGGAAACTTGCGTTTACTCAGGTAACTAAAGAAAATTATTTGCTGACAGTTATATCAAGGTATGGCTCCTATGCTAAAATACTACGAATAGTAGCGCAACTACATCGATTCCATCAGTTAACCAAGTATAAAGAGAAAGCTGACGTAGAGGTCATTCAACCTATGCAATTACAAAAAGCACTGCATTGCATTGTTTGGATTATCCAAAATCATTTTTTTTCTCAGGATATACAAGGCCTACAGCGAGGTAATCCAGTGGAAGGGTCACTCAAGCACCTAAACCCATTCTTGGAGGAAGCGTCAGGTTATCAACTCTTAAAGGTAGGAGGGCGTCTCGCACTTAGTGACATTGCCATGGGTCAGCGACATCCGATTCTACTGCCTAAAGGCTGTTATTTTGTGGAATTGTACGTTCGGCATCTTCATCTGAGCAACTATCATGCAGGAGCCAAGGCATTAATCGCCCTTACTCGACTTAAGTTTTGGATACTAAATATTCGCGATATTGCGCGTCGAACGGTTCGGTCTTGCATTCACTGCGTGCGTTACAAACCGAAATTGCTTGGTCAAATAATGGGTAACCTCCCTATTGAACGCGTCACTCCCAGTAGGCCATTCGCTCGTACAGCAGTAGATTTTTGTGGGCCAGTATTAACGTACCTTGGTATTCGGGGAAAAACCCCATTCAAAACGTATATAGCTATCTTCGTCTGCTTATCAACAAAGGCGGCACACATCGAGGCAGTGTCAGATTTAACTACGGACGCCTTTATCGCAGCACTAAAAAGATTGATCGGCAGAAGGGGACTGCCATCAGATATCTACTGCGATAATGCAACAAATTTTGTTGGTGCTAGCAACAAGCTGGCTGACTTGAAAAACTTTTTATTTAATAAAACTAACCAATCTAATTTGCAGACTTTTTGCACCAACCAATTTATCAACTTCAATTTTATACCGCCTAGGACGCCTCACTTCGGTGGGCTATGGGAGGCGGCTGTGAAAAGTGCTAAGGGCCATCTGAACCGAACCCTTGCAAACACTCGTCTTACGTTTGAGGAACTTGGAACAGTACTAATTGAAATCGAGGCCATACTTAATTCGAGACCAATATCACCGCTGTCTTGCGATCCAAGCGACTATGATGCATTGACACCAGCACATTTTCTTATCGGCGGCCCACTTAAGACATTACCGGAACCAACATCTCAGTATGATAAATTGCCACTAGCAGATAAGTGGGTCCGTGTGAAGGCTGTAAAACATCATTTCTGGCGCCGATGGGCTCGAGATTATCTAAACGAGCTGCAGACACGTACCAAATGGACAAAGGAACAATCAAACGTCAGCAATGGAACATTAGTAATAATCCACGAGGATAATATGCCCCCACAACGTTGGCTGATGGGAAGAATCATTCACTGTGTAAATGGTCCAGATAAGCATATTCGCGTAGTCGATCTGCAGACATCCAAAGGAGTCATCCGTCGACCAATCCACAAACTTGCACTATTGCCAGCTTGAAATCCTTTCAAGGGGGGCGGGATGTTGGAGCACGGTGCTTTGGTAGATCTAGCAAGTTGAGTTTGTAAGCATTTTAACATGTGTACGAATAATGTAGAGCAAGATCAATACCAGTTTTGAGTCATTTCGTTTACTCTTTTGAGCTTTCAGCTCTTGACATTCGCACTCAATTATTCGTACGCATGTTAATTTGCAACTTGAATTCTATTGTAAAAAAGCCGGTTCTGTTCTCTTTAAAAGGTGTGTATAAGAAGACGTTCTGCGCGCTAAAATAAAACATTAATTTTAGTTTTTTAAACAAATAGTGTATTGAAGTAAAACATTTGAAAATAACACCTCATATACTTTCTTTCCACATATATATTTTCTTTTATGCAAATATATGTTTATATAGTTAAAAATGCCTGCGTTTTTTATAAATAATTTCACAACGTGTAAGAAAATTAAGTAAAGAAAAAGACTAATATTTAAAAAATCATAAAAAAGCTTATGATTAAACAATCACTCTGAAGAATTAATTGTGATACCAGCATACCAGGAAAATGCGAAAAATTCTGGAAAAATCAGAATTTAAAAAAAACATCTGATTTGTTTTGACTTATGTTTAGTTTTTTGTTTGAATGTTAAAACGATTTGAATCACAAGCTGGATGATTACAAATAATTAATTTGTATTATTTCAATATTAGATTCCTATTTGGTTGTCATTATTTTTCAATTGTTTTTCTAATTAAATTGTATTGTTTTAAGAAAAGTGTTGTATACACAAACTTTTCGTTTATTAAACATTTAGCTGAATCACACATTTCATAAATCTTTTTAAAGTAGACACCTATGGTTATAAAAAGTATTATTTGTCTTAACGACCTAACCCAATTCCAAGAGTAGCACCAATTCCAATGCCTGAGGATCCCATACCATGATGTCCTCCGTATCCACCTCCATATCCTCCTGGGTATCCTCCTCCATATCCTCCACCGTAGCCTCCTCCGTATCCGCCGTATCCTCCTCCGTATCCTCCGCCGTATCCTCTACCACATGGAGGACAGTAAGCTGCACAAATGACAGTATTATTTAATAGAATTTCATAACTACGAACTATTATATTTACCAGTGCAAACTGCAATCCAAGCCAAAAGCAGACTTACTATGAAAGCCTTGTACATGTTCTCGCTTTGTTTGTTCTGTTAGCGACGATAACAATAACACGAAAATAACTTCAATAGCGTGGCTTTTTTTGTGTCTGGGTATTTATACTATTTTTCCGCAATTCTTCATTTTTCTCAAACCAAAATTAATAGAAGAAAAGTTACGCTTCATTAGCCAATATTTAGTAATGTCTCTTCGTATTAGAAGATAGCGGAACGGTTACCTTAGTTTCACAAAATCTATGCAAAAAATTTGTTGGAGGTATTACAAAAGTGAACGTGGTACATTGAATCATATAGAATTATGTTTGAACTTCAGCTTTGAGATTGGAACTGTTGGAATTTTTTATTCCAACACAGCAAAATTGTACAAATCAGCTATATATTGTCATGATCATTTCATCGTCATTCACATTCTTTTTTACAGGAGGAATAATTGCATATTGCATATTAATTAATAGTACTGATTAAAATATTAATATTTATATATATATTATATATATATATATGTATATGTGGTAATGTACATATTTATTTTATCTATACCTATTTTATTTTTTCAATTTATTTTATCAATGTTTTATTCAATACATAAATATATCTATAACAAAGTATTTGACTATATTCCTCCATCTATCACATAAGCGAATTATTTTATTGTAGTAAAACATGCAGTGGATCATATATAACTCAAGTTGCTCCTGTAGGCAATATAGAATTCAGTCAACAAAATTAAATAACAGAACTTTCTACAAATTTAATTAACTGAGTAATTAGTAAATTAATTGATATTCTTCCATAATTAATACGTAGTAAAGACACATAACTTAAGAGTTCAAGAAAAATATTTATTAACATTATTCGTAGGATATTTAACTGGTGTTTACAGACATTGTTTACATTAAAAGAGTGATTATAGTTAATTAATTATTCAACAGCTTAGCGTCCAACTCCAGTACCAAGACCTGCGCCAGCACCAGCACCAATTCCTACACCAAGTTGTGAGGATCCACTTGCTGAAGCACCTCCATAAGCACCAGCACTTCCACCTCCATAGGCTCCAGCGGCACCACCACCATAGGATCCAGCTGCACCGCCTCCATAAGCCGCTGCACTACCTCCTGCATTATTGCCTGTTGAAAGGGAAGATGCGTTTTAGTTAATTTATAAAACATTTAGACTTATATCCTTACCATAGCAAAGTGACACGCAAATCAAGAGCACTCCCAATAAGATATATAGTTTCATGTTTTCGATTGTTGAGTACGTTTATACCAGCAGAAGAAATTTGAGCTTCTACTTTTTTATTTACTTCTGCTCGTCTATTTATATCGTTTTCAACCTAAGCATTTCATTACGTTTTGTTATAGAAGACTTTATACCATGAAGTCACACTTCATTAACGAAGAACACGACACACTAAATTGAATGATTATATAGTGAAAATTTGTCATCTTTTATTTGTGATAAAAGACCACTATCACAGATTTGATTAAATAGGTTAAATACTTTTTTCTCAATTATATATATAATAATTACAATAAGTAATATCAAATCTTAAAAACTAGGTGGGGATACATATTAAACAGAAAATACTTTAAGGTATTAATCAAAGCAGTTAAGTTTATATTCTACATTTGCTACGGGTTAGATAGCTGTTTCCTATTAAGTCGAAATGCCGGGTTGGTGATAAGCAGTTGTCTGGCTTTGATGATTGAATGTGTATCAAGTTTCAAGTAGTACTTTGCAATACGAGTTCAAATGACATCATATATTTTGAGTATATTGAGATCCCTTTGTATATTGTGTGGAGCTCTTCACATAACACGGGGCTTTTACAATCTATCTGGTGATGTTGTTTTGAAATCTTTGCGGGTTTTCCACTTTTGGATTGCACTTGGTCCCCCAAAGCTCTATATCATACATTCAGATTTTTTTATGATGGCATTGTGCAGCATTACTTTAATTTCGAGACTGAGTGCAGACTTGGGATTCATCAGCCTATATAGTTGTTGCAACTTTAGTGTAAAGTGCGATACTATGTTAGCGTTCTATCAAGATAAATGCTTAAGTATGTGTCTTTGCGTAGAGTTTATAATATATGTACGCTCTTCGCTTCATTTACGTTAATCTGTCATTTAGCTAGATTAAGATTAAGAATTGCAGTATCATTTGCAATGGTTGAGGCCAGATCCTTTCTATACAATGGGAGATCTGGAGGGTAGATTAGATGAAGGATTGGTGCAAAAATGCTTCCTTGAGGAACGTGAGCAACAATTTTATATTCCCTGGTAATAAATGAGTTGTGCGTAACTTTAAATCTACGGTTAGTCGAGTAAGTTCTTAGAAGTGTATGTACGCTTGCTGGGAATGACTTTTTGATCTTGTTTAAAAGGCCTGGGCTACGTATAGGAAACCACTTGCACAATATTTCTTATCTACAAAGCGTACATAATTTATTTTGCTATTTTGTGTACGTACTTTGTTGTGTCAAGTCTTTATCTGAAGAAAACCAACATTTTCAGGATAATTTTGCAGTGAAAGGTTTCTGCTCGCCGATAATGTTGCTTCCGTAATTTTCGCTTTGACTCCGGAGATCGGTGAGTTTGCTATTGTTTAGATATGAAGTAAATTTGACTCTTTCCAAATGAATGCAAATCATGATTTTCGCAACGAAAACATTTTTTTATGTTTTAGGATTTATAATGATCATCTTATAATATAAGCTATATTCTTTTATTATACATGTATAACATATTTTCGTGTGAACAAAATGTTTTATTTGGGTAAAAGAGTCATTAAATTTCTGCTGTATGTGTTCTGAGTAAGTACTCCCCGTGAATACTCCCCGTCAACATATAGATCCATCGATGGACCATACGTGTTCATACCATATGTCTATTCATAATTGCATCATGAAAAGAGTAAATGATTAACGAGAGTACACTCCACTCAGTATGTCATTTAAAAGACCCGAACTTAATTTCCGGGTTTCGACTTTATCATCAGTTTCTTGGTAAGAATTAAGTTTGGTTTTGGTTAAACAAACACAAGGAAATCTACAGAGACATGTAGAAAAAGTTTGTTAGTTGCATAACGTATATAAAGGACTATTTTGGTGGAACTCCCTGAAATGGCTTCAGTCGTGTGTTGTTCAAAGTTTAATGAGTAAGATAAACTAAAGACGCGTATTAATTGTTGAGAAAAAATTGCACGTTATTTGAGAGGTGAAGACTTGTTAGTAGATAACAGCTTTAATGCAGAAATCGTTTTAAATTTAATTATCGTAGGAGTGTTTGTCGTTTGCTCTTGGTATGATGAGAATCTTAAGAAAGAACTCAGCATTATAAAGTTAAATGAAGACGAGTCGTAGTAAATTTATCTTTGAATCTTTTCAGCGATGCATTTAGTCGCCATGTGGTGATCAGATATACCTCAAATATCTATATCTTTGTTTCCATATAAACCATGGCTATGTAACTAAATAACAGATAATATCTACTAGGGCTGCTATATATATTTCTGGCTTAATAATGAAAATGCGAATATTTATCATCAAAAATTGTTTTATTGTTTTTCAAAGTATTCTCCAACCTGATTAATACACTTTTGCATGCGCTCAAACCAATTGTTGAATCACTTTTTCCCCTCCGATTGAGACACCTCCAAAACATGATTTTTGGACGCTTCAACAGCATATTCTGGCGACGAAAAACGTTGACCACGTATTTTTTCTTGATGTGCGGGAATAAAAAGAAGTCATTGGGTGTCAAGTCAGGGTTGTACGGCGGATGACTCCTCAATTCGACGTTTTGGCAGGTCAAAAAGGCACTGGTTTCAGCCGATGTGTGAGAACTCGCGTCGTCATGGTGAACAATGATGCGTCTTCTCTTGTTCGTTTTTTGAATTTCTCCGAAGACTTCAGGCAAACAAATTGTGGTGCACCACTCAGAAGTGACCGTCCTTCGTTGCTCAAGTGCAACAGTCACCACATGACCAGTTTTGCCGAAGAAACATGCGACCATTTGCTTCGAAGTGCTTCTACCACGAACAACTTTCGTTAGATTTGGCTCGTCTTCTAAGACCCACAGCGTCGATTGCTGTTTTGTTTCATAGATTCATAGATTCGTCACCTGTGACGATCTTATAAACGTCTAATGAAGCACCGCGATCGTATTTTTTTTAACATTTCTTTGGACCAATCGACACGAGCCTTTTTTTGAGCGATTGTCAAATTGTGCGGAATCCAATGAGAACAAACCTTTTTAACGGCCAGGTGTTCATGCAATATCGAATGTATGCTGGTGGGAGAAATGCCCAACGATGCTTCTATCTCACGGAATGTCACATGACGATTTTGTATTATCAGTTCACGCACAGCATCAATGTTCTCTGGCACAACGGCCGTTTTTGGACGACCTTCACGGAATTCGTCGTTGAGCGAGCGTCGGCCACGATTGAATTCATTAAACCCGTTTTTCACAGTGCTGTAGGATGGCGCTTTATCGCCATATAAAGATTAAAGTGCATCAATGAACTCTTGTCGTGATAATCCACGTGTTAATTCAATTCTTTGGCCGAGATGAATTTTTCAAGTCTCTGTAAATAAAACAATTCACAATTAAATGACAACACGTTCTGAGTGATGTTATGCTAAAAAATGTCAACCTTTCCAATGAAAATGTCAGATTGCATCTGACAACACTTAGTGTTGCCAAGGCCAGAAATATATATAGCAGCCTCGTATGACAGCACAAAAACTAAAAGAATAATGAATAAAATAAAAAGGTGCTGAAGAAAATGAATGCACTAACAGTATTTATCAAATGTGTTCACTATTCAGAATAAAATAAATTCTCGATTGTGGATATATATCGATATATATATATATTAACAACAATAAGAAATTATGCTATAATTAATAAAAATATTCTCAATACGCAGGTATACTGGAAGGATATGTTATAATAGAATTATTTGTTAAGTTTGCTTCTTCTTTAATTTTTTTTTTTTTTTGATAAAAATACACTTTATTTGTTATATAAGATATTAACTGTGTCAAAGCAATCACTGCTTTCTAAATTAGTGGGCTTAATCCACGAAGGAAGTCATGCAATTTAATTAAATTTTGTTGAAAGAGTTATCCAAAGAGTTAAGTGACAGTCAAAAATCAGAAAGCCTGAAAACTGTTGAAATAACTCAATAAACATTGAAGTGTTAAAGGCACAGTTTGTATATATGTAGTCCAGACCTGGACTGAAACTGCAAACACTGTGCAGATGCCTCCCAATACACACACATCTTGCGATTTGTTACTGGTCACACCCTTAAAGATCAAGCTCGAAGCAATGACATTATGTGGATAAATGGTATGTCAGACATTTTTATATAGAACAGGTGTGGATTACCGAAATAAGTTTTGACTAACAAATTTATAGATATTTTGTGAGCACATATAGAAATAGACTTCTAAGGCGCTGAATTGACTAAAAATTTTTAAGTTTTCTGTAAGACTTACCATAACACGCAAAATACATCTATAACTGTATTACATAATATTTTATATATTGCTCCTGAGATATATATACATTTGATTATAAAGATATAAAAAGAATTTAAGTGATTTAAAAATGTTAGTAAAATATTTATTACTTTGCTTTAATGAACATTCAATTGAATTTCGAAGGGATCGTAAACAGAATGGAAAAATATGTGTATCTACACAGAAAATTATTTCTTCTCTTAACGTCCTACGCCTGCTCCAAGACCTGCTCCGGCACCAGCACCAATGCCAACGCCCAATTTAGCATTATCACTTGATGAAGCACCTCCATAAGAAGCGGCACTTCCACCTCCATAAGCCCCAGCGGCACCACCACCGTAGGAGCCAGCCGCACCACCTCCATACGCCGATGCAGCGCCTCCTGCATATTGGCCTGGTAACACAGAGTACATATTTTAGAAAAATATCACAGAACATCCTCATATTTATCCTTACCGTTACATAAAGAAATGCCTATCAAAAGGATTCCAAATATCAAAGCTACTTTCATTTTGAGAACTAAGTTGATAAATACCAGCGAATCTAGCAATTTCTGTGCATTGTTATGTTCGTTATTGAGTATTTATACCACTTTGATTTTTAATATTTCATTTGAAATTCATAGTACAGAATAACGCTTCATCAATAATGACACACCTGTTGAAATAATTGAGTAGCGGAACTCTGTTCCATTTTCAAAAATCTTATCGCTAATTAAGCGTTAATAATTTGAAGCATGACATAACAGCAGATAATTTTTCTATCTGATTAGTTGTAAATTCACTCTTTAACTGAATTTTAACACAAATTATTCCTTGAAATTTTTTTAACACACTTGTATCAATTTGCAGCTAATATCAATATCAGAAATTAGCAGTTGAAATTTGCATTCGAGACAACCTTTTCAGTGGGCGGCAATAACTCTGACAGAGGCTTATTTTGAAAAAATATATTCATTATATTGAAAAAATGTGACGTGACACTATAGGTGACTGTCTGGATCAAATACTGCCTCGTTCCTATAACTACGAATAGTAATATATTTCTTCTCAGTATAGCAGATCTAATAATGTTGAGATGTAACCCGACGGATCACCATAGCATGCGTTTCTATCCCAACAATATGCGTCTGGATTTGGATTGGGTCTCCTCGGAGGTAGAGTAAACTAGTTAAATTTTTAGCTGTCCGGCTTTGATTTCGATTAGAGGTATAGATTTCTTAGTCGAAAGCTCCTATCTCTGGCAAAAATTAACATACACACAACAGATAACATTTTGTTTGCTATTTAGTTAGGATCAGAAGAGCTTATGTGTAATACCTGCGCCCAGATACTGGAATAACCCTTTAATTGTGTTTCATGAAAAGGAAAGGGGAGGGAAAAACATACAATTTAAACTGTCTAATTATATTTCATCTGGTAAGTTTCCTTCAAGTTGACACACAGCTCTTGTTTGGCTCTCTTTAAATAGCTACAATCGTTCGTGCATTGTGAAATAATGTGTGCAGGAAACTTTTCTTCATCTGTATATGAGGTTATGCGTCCGGCTTGGAACTCACTATATAAAAACATAACATAAACAAATAAAGAAACAAGGAGGCAACATTGTTTAAGGACACTTAATACCATCGACGACATCCGCAAACGTTTTAAGAAACATGATTATAGAATATGCAGTTAGAATGTCCGAACTCTTTACAGAGAAGCTGTATTAATACAACTGGTTTATGTTCTTAAAAAATACAAGACTGTCGTTACCGCTCTCTAGGAAATGCGATAGACGTGCTACTACAGCTGACGTGCAACCAAGCTCGAAATTGGTGGCGTATTTGCGGTAAGCCAAAGGCTACGAAATTTGGTCTCTACCGTCACACCAATAAACAAAGTACTTGTAAAAACAGGCAACATTTTTTTACATCAGTCTAATATGTGCACATACACCGACGGAGGATGACCATAGATAAACAAGTATATTGAAACAAGTATATGAA